GTCAATCACCCCCATAGGGTGCAGTGTTAATCACCCCCATAGGGTGCAGTGTCAATCACTCCCATAGGGTGCAGTGTCAATCACCTCCATAGGGTGCAGCGTCAATCACTCCCATAGGGTGCAGTGTTAATCACCCCCATAGGGTGCAGTGTCAATCACCCCCATAGGGTGCAGTGTCAATCACCCCCATAGGGTGCAGTGTTAATCACCCCCATAGGGTGCAGTGTCAATCACCCCATAGGGTGCAGTGATAATCACCCCCATAGGGTGCAGTGTCAATCACCCCCATAGGGTGCAGTGTCAATCACCCCCATGGGGTGCAGTGTTAATCACCCCCATAGGGTGCAGTGTTAATCACCCCCATAGGGTGCAGTGTCAATCACCCCCATAGGGTGCAGTGTTAATCACCCCCATAGGGTGCAGTGTTAATCACCCCCATAGGGTGCAGTGTCAATCACTCCCATAGGGTGCAGTGTTAATCACCACCATAGGTTGCAGTGTCAATCATCCCATAGGGTGCAGTGTTAATCACCCCCATAGGGTGCAGTGTTAATCACCCCCATAGGGTGCAGTGTTAATCACCACCATAGGGTGCAGTGTTAATCACCCCCATAGGGTGCAGTGTTAATCACCCCCATAGGGTGCAGTGTTAATCACCCCCATAGGGTGCAGTGTTAATCACCACCATAGGGTGCAGTGTCAATCACTCCCATAGGGTGCAGTGTTAATCACCCCCATAGGGTGCAGTGTCAATCACCCCCATAGGGTGCAGTGTTAATCACACCATAGGGTGCAGTGTTAATCACCCCCATAGGGTGCAGTGTTAATCACTCCCATAGGGTGCAGTGTCAATCACCCTCATAGGGTGCAGTGTTAATCACCCCTATAGGGTGCAGTGTTAATCACCCCATAGGGTGCAGTGTTAATCACCCCCATAGGGTGCAGTGTCAATCACCCCCATAGGGTGCAGTGTTAATCACCCCCATAGGGTGCAGTGTCAATCACCCCCATAGGGTGCAGTGTTAATCACCCCCATAGGGTGCAGTGTTCATCACCCCCATAGGGTGCAGTGTCAATCATCCCCATAGGATGCAGTGTTAATCACTCCCATAGGGTGCAGTGTTAATGACTCCCATAGGGTGCAGTGTTAATCATCCCCATAGGGTGCAGTGTTAATCACCCACATAGGGTGCAGTGTTAATCACTCCCATAGGGTGCAGTGTTAATCATCCCCATAGGGTGCAGTGTTAATCACTCCCATAGGGTGCAGTGTTAATCACCCCCATAGGGTGCAGTGTTAATCACTCCCATAGGGTGCAGTGTTAATAACCCCCATAAGGTCCAGTGTCAATCACCCCCATAGGGTGCAGTGTTAATCACCACCATAGGGTGCAGTGTTAATCACCCCCATAGGGTGCAGTGTTAATGACTACCATAGGGTGCAGTGTCAATCACCCCCATAGGGTACAGTGTTAATCACCCCTATAGGGTGCAGTGTTAATCACCCCCATAGGGTGCAGTGTTAATCACCCCCATAGGGTGCAGTGTTAATCACCCCCATACGGTGCAGTGTCAATCACCCCCATAAGGTGCAGTGTTAATCACCCCCATAGGGTGCAGTGTTAATCACTCCCATAGGGTGCAGTGTTAATCACCCCCATAGGGTGCAGTGTTAATCACCCCCATAGGGTGCAGTGTTAATCACCCCCATAGGGTGCTGTGCCAATCACCCCCATAGGGTACAGTGTTAATCACTGGGTGACTCACACAGACAAAATCTACTGTAGGGTACAGTGTTAATCACTGGGTGACTCACCCAGACACAAAGTCTACTGTAAGTTACAGTGTTAATCACTGGGTGACTCACAGACACAAAGTCTACTGTAGGGTACAGTGTTAATCACTGGGTGACTCACAGACACAAAGTCTACTGTAGGGTACAGTGTTAATCACTGGGTGACTCACAGACACAAAGTCTACTGTAGGGTACAGTGTTAATCACTGAGTGACTCACACAGACACAAAGTCTACTGTAGGGTACAGTGTTAACCACTGGGTGACTCACACAAAGTCTACTGTAGGGTACAGTGTTAATCACTGGGTGACTCACAGACACAAAGTCTACTGTAGGGTACAGTGTTAATCACTGGGTGACTCACAGACACAAAGTCTACTGTAGGGTACAGTGTTAATCACTGGGTGACTCACAGACACAAAGTCTACTGTAGGGTACAGTGTTAATCACTGAGTGACTCACACAGACAAAGTCTACTGTAGGGTACAGTGTTAATCACTGGGTGACTCACAGTGACAAAGTCTACTGTAGGGTACAGTGTTAATCACTGGGTGACTCACACAGACACAAAGTCTACTGTAGGGTACAGTGTTAATCACTGGGTGACTCACAGACACAAAGTCTACTGTAGGGTACAGTGTTAATCACTGGGTGACTCACAGACACAAAGTCTACTGTAGGGTACAGTGTCAATCACTGGGTGACTCACACAGACACAAAGTCTACTGTAGGGTACAGTGTTAATCACTGGGTGACTCACAGACACAAAGTCTACTGTAGGGTACAGTGTTAATCACTGGGTGACTCACACAAAATCTACTGTAGGGTACAGTGTTAATCACTGGGTGACTCAGACACAAAGTCTACTGTAGGGTACAGTGTTAATCACTGGGTGACTCACAGACACAAAGTCTACTGTAGGGTACAGTGTTAATCACTGAGTGACTCACACACAGTCAATTTCTACTGTAGGGTACAGTGTTAATCACTGGGTGACTCACAGACACAAAGTCTACTGTAGGGTACAGTGTTAATCACTGAGTGACTCACACAGACAAAGTCTACTGTAGGGTACAGTGTTAATCACTGGGTGACTCACAGTGACAAAGTCTACTGTAGGGTACAGTGTTAATCACTGGGTGACTCACACAGACACAAAGTCTACTGTAGGGTACAGTGTTAATCACTGGGTGACTCACACAGACACAAAGTCTACTGTAGGGTACAGTGTTAATCACTGGGTGACTCACACAAAGTCTACTGTAGGGTACAGTGTTAATCACTGGGTGACTCACACAAAGTCTACTGTAGGGTACAGTGTTAATCACTGGGGGCTCAATCACAGCAGGAGACTCATTTTTCCAACGCCACCTTTAATGAAAGCCGCTGCCGTTCGACTGGACAGGAGATGTTGACTACCTCGCCTGGTGTACAGGAGATGTTGACTACCTCGCCTGGTCTACAGGAGATGTTGACTACCTCGCCTGGTGTACAGGAGATGTTGACTACCTCGCCAGGTCTACAGGAGATGTTGACTACCTCGCCTGGTGTACAGGAGATGTTGACTACCTCGCCTGGTGTACAGGAGTTGTTGACTACCTCGCCTGGTACACAGGAGATGTTGACTACCTCGCCTGGTGTACAGGAGATGTTGACTACCTCGCCTGGTACACAGGAGATGTTGACTACCTCGCCTGGTGTACAGGAGATGTTGACTACCTCGCCTGGTACACAGGAGATGTTGACTACCTCACCTGGTGTACAGGAGTTGTTGACTACCTCGCCTGGTGTACAGGAGATGTTGACTACCTCGCCTGGTCTACAGGAGATGTTGACTACCTCGCCTGGTACACAGGAGATGTTGACTACCTCGCCTGGTGTACAGGAGATGTTGACTACCTCGCCTGGTGTACAGGAGATGTTGACTACCTCGCCTGGTACACAGGAGATGTTGACTACCTCGCCTGGTGTACAGGAGATGTTGACTACCTCGCCTGGTACACAGGAGATGTTGACTACCTCGCCTGGCCTACAGGAGATGTTGACTACCTCGCCTGGTCTACAGGAGATGTTGACTACCTCGCCTGGTACACAGGAGATGTTGACCACCTCGCCTGGTCTACAGGAGATGTTGACTACCTCGCCTGGCCTACAGGAGATGTTGACTACCTCGCCTGGTGTACAGGAGATGTTGACTACCTCGCCTGGTCTACTGGAGATGTTGACTACCTCGCCTGGTACACAGGAGATGTTGACTACCTCGCATGGTCTACAGGCGATGTTGACTACCTCGCCTGGTGTACAGGAGATGTTGACTACCTCGCCTGGTGTACAGGAGATGTTGACTACCTCGCCTGGTGTACAGGAGATGTTGACTACCTCGCCTGGTGTACAGGAGATGTTGACTACCTCGCCTGGTGTACAGGAGATGTTGACTACCTCGCCTGGTCTACAGGAGATGTTGACTACCTCGCCTGGCCTATAGGAGATGTTGACTACCTCGCCTGGTGTACAGGAGATGTTGACTACCTCGCCTGGTCTACAGATTTTGACTACCTCGCCTGGTACACAGGAGATGTTGACTACCTCGCCTGGTACACAGGAGATGTTGACTACCTCGCCTGGTGTACAGGAGATGTTGACTACCTCGCCTGGTCTACAGATTTTGACTACCTCGCCTGGTGTACAGGAGATGTTGACTACCTCGCCTGGTGTACAGGAGATGTTGACTACCTCACCTGGTACACAGGAGATGTTGACTACCTCGCCTGGTGTACAGGAGATGTTGACCACCTCGCCTGGTCTACAGGAGATGTTGACTACCTCGCCTGGTCTACAGATGTTGACTACCTCGCCTGGTGTACAGGAGATGTTGACTACCTCGCCTGGTGTACAGGAGATGTTGACTACCTCGCCTGGTGTACAGGAGGTGTGGTGATAGCGGTGGTGGTTGTGGTGATGGTGGTGATGGTGGCGATGGTAGTGGTGGTGATAGTAGTGATGGTAGTGATGGTAGTGATGATGGTAGTGATGGTGATGGTGGTAGTGGTGATGGTGGTAGTGATGGTGGTAGTGACGGTAGTGATAGTGGTAGTGATGGTGGTGATGGTAGTGATGGTGATGGTAGTGATGATGGTAGTGGTGGTGTTAGTGATGGTGATAGTGATGATAGTAGTGATGGTGATAGTGATAGTGTTAGTCTGTGTAGGGATCCAACAGGAAGGAAGAGAAAGCCTCCACTCTCTACATAGTGGTGGTGGTAGTGGTGGTAGTGATGATGGTGGTAGTGATAGTGGTGATGGTAGTGGTGGTAGTGGTGATGGTAGTGGTGGTAGTGATGATGATAGTGGTAGTGATGATAGTGGTAGTGATGGTAGTGGTGGTAGTAGTGATGGTAGTAGTGATGGTGGTGATGGTAGTGATGGTAGTGATAGTGATGGTAGTGGTGGTAGTGATGATGATGGTAGTGGTAGTATCAGTCTGTGTAGGGATCCAACAAGAAGGAAGAGAAAGCCTCCACTCTCTACATAGTGATGGTGGTAGTGATGGTAGTGGTGGTAGTGGTAGTAGTTATGGTGATATCAGTCTGTGTAGGGATCCAGCAGGAAGGAAGAGAAAGCCTCCACTCTCTCCACTCCACGAACTTCGTGTGGCAGCAGCGGCAGCTTAACGATGTGGAAGTCCTCGTACAGATCCTCCATCTACACACACACACAGTTACACACACACACAGTTACACACACACACAGACATACACACAGTGACACACACACACAGTTACACACACACACAGTGACACACACACACACACATAGACACATACAGATCCTCCATCTACACACACACACAGTTACACACACGTAGTTACACACACACACAGTTACACACACAGTTACACACACACATACAGATCCTCCATCTACACACAGACACACATAGACATACACACAGTAACACACACACACAGTTACACACACAGTTACACACACAGTTACACACACAGTTAAACACACAGTTACACACACACAGTTACACACACATACACACACAGAGTTACACACACATAGACACACACATAAACACACACACACAGACACACACACACACAGATCCTCCATCTACACACACACACAGTTACACACACATAGACACACACAGACACACATAGACATACAGACAGTGACACACACACACAGTTACACACACACATAGACACACACACACAGTTACACACACACACATAGATCCTCCATCTACACACACACACAGTCACACACACAGTTACACACACACACATACAGATCCTCCATCTACACACACACAGACACACAGTTACACACACACATACAGATCCTCCATCTACACATACACAGTTACACACACATAGACACACACATAGACACACACACAACAACCGCCATTCGCCACTAAGTGGCGGTGACGTCACCACGACGCTTGTGCCAGGCTATGTGCACCCTGAGGCCACGTGAAGTGTCGAACGCCCGCTGGCAGGAGGTCACGGGGCAGACCCAGGTGCCACGGGTCGACTGACTGAGATGACTGGCTGATGCACCACCTGTGCCCCCTACTGTGCCTAACCTGCTGTGCTTTAGCCACCCGCGCTCCGCTCGTTGTTGTGAGCGTCGCTCCTCCGCCCTCCATTGTTGTTGGAGGGCGACTGCCTCCAACTGCCCAGTAGCATCCTTCACGAGCCTCCTCCACAGAGGCCGATCTTGACACCGCTGGTACCAGTCATCGGCAAGTCCACTCGGCTCCACGTCCTCCTGTACCACATCACTCCATCTCTTTTCTAGCCCGTGCCGCGCCCGTTTAGCCCCCTCAATCCGGCCGAACAAAAGCTGTTTCGGCATGCGGTGGCTGGGCATGCGGGCTACATGACCCAGCCATCGCAGCCTTGCCCGCCGGAGGAGCTCACCGATGGGACCTTGCCCAGATCTTTCAAGGATTTGTGAGCTCCTCACACAATCCAGTCTGGTTAAACCCAGAATGGATCGTAGGCAGGCCAGTCTAAATGTTTCTAACCGGCGAAGATGCTCCATTAGGGGGGTCCACGTTTCGCAAGCGTAGAGAAGGGAGGGAATGACCGTGGCCGAGAAGACCTGAAGCTTAGTGCGGAGCGACAGACCAGGTAGCTTCCACACAGCGTTACGCAACCGATGAAAAGATATTGCCGCTCGACTGATTCGGAGACCTCTGCTGTTAAACTGGAGCAAGTCATAAGCACACTGCCCAGGTATGGAAAACTCTCCACTCTCTCCACAACTGCCCCATCACCGATTGGGAGTTGTGGGGGTGGAGTGTCCGATGGTACAAAATACCCAGGCAGGTGCTTAGTTTTGGTGGGGCTGATGGTAAGGCCCCACCTCTTAGTGGCACGCTCCAGTCTCAGCAGCAGTGTCTCCAACTCCTCCTCTGACTGAGCAGCTATTACCAAATCATCAGCATACATAACGTGGTTGAGCAATAGGGAGCCATCCCTTGACCGCACCCAGGCATCGATCAGCCTCCCATTATATCTGTACCATATGGAGATTCCCCCGGTACAGCTATTGAAGGCTTCACGAACTACGTGGTCAAAATAGATGTTAAATAATGTGGGAGCCAGAGGACATCCCTGTCGCACCCCAAGGTGTACAGGGAATGGCTCTGACTCCCGGCCACGTAGTTTTACCCGGGCCCGCTCACCATCATGAAGGTCCTTAATGATCGTGAGCAGAGGGTCAGGTACTCCAAAAGCACGAAGAACGACCCAGAGCCCAGGCCTACTGATGGTATCATAGGCCTTGATCAGGTCAATAAAGCAGAGACGTAGGTCTTGTTGGAATTCCCTACACCTCTGCTGTAGCAGACGGACAGAAAATATGGCATCTGTGCAGGACCGCCCTTTCCTGAAACCGCATTGGGGCTCCGCAAGCCTCTCCTCAGCGTGCCTGGCAAGGCGATGCTGAATAATCCTTGCCAGGTCCGGCAAAACAACCCCCTACCTCTTCGCGGTGCCGGACGGGCAAATCTGTCGTGGACAATGCTGTGGGGGGAGATCCAATTTTGATTGGCTCCTCCCCTCATGGCGTCTGTGTCCACCACAGGGGCTAAACGGGGGCTCTGGATGGGTGCGAGGGGCTGGTAACCCCTTCACCTTCAATTAATTACCAAGAAACCACGAATTAAACTAAACTGACACACACACATACACACACACATAGACACACATACAGATCCTCCTTCTACACACACACAGATCCTCCTTCTACACACTACACACATAGAGACATAGACATACACACAGTGACACACACACACACACATAGACACACACATAGACACACACAGTTACACACAGTTACACACACACACATCGACACACATACAGATCCTCCATCTACACACACACAGTTACACACATACACAGACACACACACAGTTACACACACACACATAGACACACATACAGATCCTCCATCTACACACACACAGTTACACACAGACACACACACACAGTTACACACACACACATAGACACACATACAGATCCTCCTTCTACACACACACAGTTACACACACACACATAGACACACATACAGATCCTCCTTCTACACACACACAGACACACATACATAGACACACACACACAGACATAGACACACACATAGATACTCCATCTACACACACACAGACACACACACAGTTACACACATATACATACAGATCCTCCATCTACACACACGCAGTTACACACACACATAGTTACACACATAGACATAGACACACACATACACACATAGACATACACACAGTTACACACAAAAAGACACACATACAGATCCTCCATCTACACACACACAGTTACACACAGTTACACACACACAGTTACACACAGTTACACACACACAGTTACACACACACACACACATAGACACACATACAGATCCTCCTTCTACACACACAGACACACAGACACATAGACATACACATACATAGATCCTCCATCTACACACACATAGACACACACAGTTACACACACACACAGACACACACACATACAGTTACACACATAGTTACACACATAGTTACACACACATAGACACACATACAGATCCTCCTTCTACACACACACACACATAGACACACACATAGTTACACACACACACAGACACACACAGTTACACACATACATAGACACACATACAGATCCTCCTTCTACACACACACACACACATAGACACACACATAGTTACACACATACACATAGACACACACGTAGTTATACACATACACATAGACATACACATAGACACACACACACAGACATAGACACACACATAGTTACACACATACACATATACATACACATAGACACACACACAGTTACACACACACACACGTAGACACACACACAGACACACACAGTTACACACATAGTTACACACACACAGATACACACACACAGACACACACACACATACATAGATCCTCCATCTACACGCACACAGACACACACACATACACACATACACATAGACACACACATAGACACACACACACACACATATACACACACACATAGACACACACACACATAGACACACACATAGGCACACACACATAGACACACACATAGGCACACACATAGACACACACAGACACATACACATAGACACACATACACAGTTACACACACACACGTAGACACACACACACGTAGACACACATACACAGTTACACACACATAGACACACACACAGACACACACACACACATAGACACACACACAGACACACACACAGACACACACAGACACACACACACAGACACACACACATAGACACACACACATAGGCACACAGACACACACACAGACACACACACACACATAGACACACACACACACATAGGCACACACACACACACATAGACACACACACACACATAGACACAGACACACACAGACACACACACACATAGACACACACACATAGACACACACACATAGACACACACACATAGACACACACACATCCACACACAGACACACAAACACAGAGACACACACACAGAGAGACACATAGACACACACACGTAGACACACACACAGACACATAGACACACAGAGACACAGACACATAGACACACACAGAGAGACACACACAAACACAGAGACACACACAGAGACACACACACAAACAGAGACACACACACAAACACAGAGACACACACACACAGAGACACATAGACACACGCAGAGAGACACACACAAACACAGAGACACACACACACAGAGACACATAGACACACACAGAAAGACACACACACACAGAGACACACACACAGACACACACAGAGACACATAGACACACACAGAGAGACACACACACAGAGACACATAGACACATAGACACACAGACACACACACACACAGACACACACAAACACAGACACACACACACACACAGACACACACACAGACAGAGACACACACACAGAGACACACTTAGACACACACAGAGAGACACACAGAGAGACACACACACACAGACACACACACAGACACACACACAGACACACACACAGAGACACACACAGACACACACACATAGACACACACAGACACATACAGACACACACAGAGACACACACACACAGAGACACACACACACAGGCACACACACAGACACACACACAG